CTGCACACTGGGGACTAAACTCAATCTCTTTGAAACTGGAGGCAACCAAGAATTTGGGAATACAAGCCTGGCAATTTTCTTTCCTACCACACAAAAAATAATTCCTATTAATCTTTGCTCTGTAAGTGCCACCAGCTGTTCATGCTGGACAGGATGTAGGAAGGGATATATGCAAGCTGAAGCCAACGGGATTTGAATAGAGGGCACGTAAGGTCATTAAAAAAAGAGTCGTGCAGGCTGTAGCACCTCTGCATGCGCTCTGATCGTAAACTCAAGGTAACCGAGCAAGGTTTCACGTGCACTCAGGTTTGTGTTGGGATCTGTTCCTTTGGCCTTGGTTATCCCTTGATCTTATAAGCCCAAGGAGAAAGATACTGCCCACTTCTGTCCTAGGGCACCCTTCAGACAGGTAGAGTCAAGTGCCGTTCACTGCAAGGGTGTCAAAATGTCGCTCAACTGAGAGACGGAAACCATGGGATACCTGAATGAACGCAGTGACCCCACTTAACCCGACGCTTGCCTTTTTGTTGGTGTTTTGAATCACGTAACCAACTTTTCAAACATGTGCTCAGACACAGTCAATTCAGACAGACTTAGTCAATGTGTTTCAAGTTACGACGAGGTTATGTATCTTGTTGGACCTAGAGGTGAATGCTCATTTCCTTTTCTGAGCTAATCTTAGAGCACTGTATGAATTCAAGTGCAGGATGCATGAAGGCGGAAGCTGGCCGGCAACACTGCAGCTGCATTAAAAAATAAACTTCTGTAGTTCTCTGAACTATTTTAAGAACAATGATGATTTCTCAGCCTGTTGGTTCATTCTGAGTAATTCACCAACTAGCCTAGAGCTAACCTTTCTTGCTTTGCTTAGGTGTGTATCTACACAAGATCAAATTGGATTTTTCCAGTAGGCAACAGCAAATCCAAAATCTTACTGTACAATGAGAAACAAGAGTTCAAACAAACTGAGATAGTTAAGTAGTAGACATGTAAACATTCACCACAAATATCTTGGCAAAATAGTGTACTGTTCCGCCAGCTCAAACTTTTATTATTGTCATCCACTCACCAAATAGAAGAGAATTTGTAAATGTTCAGGAAGTGAGAGAATTGTATATTGTTCTGATAGCCTTTCTGTTGAAGGCAGAGGGGATTTCACCACTGGCTTAAAGGAACAGAAACCATCTCTTTGAAGACAAACCTACAGATACATTCTGAATGCGTACTCTAAGATTTTAGAGCAAAATGAGGAGAACAAAAGCGAAGGTAGCACAAGAACATGGATTTATCATAGAATCATAGAATGGTTGGGGTTGGAAGGGACCTTAAAGATCATCCAGTTCCAACCCCCCTGCCATGGGCAGGGACACCTTCCACTAGACCAGGTTGCTCCAAGCCTCATCCAGCCTGGCCTTGAACACTTCCGGGGATGGGGCATCCACAGCTTCTCTGGGCAACCTGTCCCAGTGCCTCCCCACCCTCTCCGGGAAGAAATTCTTCCTGATATCCAATCTAAACCTCCCCACTTTCAATTTAAACCCGTTCCCCCTTGTCCTGCCACTACAGGCCCTTGTAAAAAGTCCCCCCCAGCTTCCTTGTAGCCCCTTCAGGCACTGGAAGGGGCAATAAGGTCTCCTCGGAGCCTTCTCTTCTCCAGGCTGAACAAGCCCAACTCTCTCAGCCTGTCCCCATAGCAGAGGGGCTCCAGCCCTCGGAGCATCTTCGTGGCCTCCTCTGGACTCGCTCGAAGCAGTCTATATCCGGTTTATAAAAACTATACTAGTTTTTTCTGTATTAGCCTTCCAAAGAGACAAGGACTCTGTTTTGTTTCCAAAGTACAGTGACTACAGAAACACTGCAAGAACACAGAGGTCAAAGAAATCTCTGATTTCGTTTGACTTCCTTGAGCTGTGGCAGGACAGCAAATTTCAAGCCTGAGCTAAAAAGGGGAAATAATTTTCCTCTAATATCCTGCAAGATCCTAAAAATACATGGATTTTAAATGGTCAGTGCAGTAGAATCTGAGTCCATTTCAGTAAACCAGCTAAGTTGTAATGTTACATTTGCGCTCACACTCTATGTGAGCTCTCAACGTACATGAAGCGAAGCAATTCAACTTTCTTGGGTTTATCTCATCTTTCTTCCCGCAGATTGTGCATTGTTCTTTTCCTTTCTGGATTATTTCAATACTTTCTAACATTTTTTTACACTGCATAGGTTGCTCGTGTAGAAATCCCAAGTACTTCTCATGAGTTAACTAATCAGGGATCTTTTAAAATGAGCTGGTTTTGTAAGCAAACTATGTCATTTTGCACTTTGGAAGTGGCACGACAAGAAGGTATTTCAAATGGCACAAGCAGCACAGTCATGTTGCCACAAAACCTAAGGATACCACAACCATCTGTTACAAGGCACTGTGAAAAAATACAGGCTTTGAAAAGAATGCTTGGTTAAATCTACAGCTGGCGTTTTGGAGACTCCTAACTAAAGGTAGCCAGCAGCTGGAAAGAAAGTAGAAATACACAATGGCATAAGTCCAGGAGCCCAGGGGTTTACCAACCCAACATCTCTGGTACTCTGGTATTTTATCTAGTACGCATGGGTTTCTATAGTTTGGCATGTGAAAATTCATCAGTCAGCAAGCAGTGTCTTCAATTAGAAAAATATAATGAAACCTCAGTCTTTACCGCTTACCCAGAAACAAATGCAGGTTTCAAAGTCACAGCTAACTTCGCTTGTGTTGCTCTTAATTCCACTAAAAAGAGCAGACGGGTTGTTGCTACATTAGTGACTAATATTAGCTCCACTACATGAGGAATTACTGGGAGTTATCCAGCAATAGTCTGAGCTGTGCCAATGGAAAGTCAAGAGTTCAAGTATGTACATATCTTTCATAGCTGTCAGTCTTCTGCACAGCAAACTGTTTATCTCTGGGCCAAAGCTGGAGCTACTTCAATATCAGGTTATGGCATTATATTTCACATCGTAACTTGAAATGGTTTTTGTTCTGTGAACCGGTAGAACTTCATGTGTATTGTTCATGCATTCCTTAGAAACACTGCTGAGAAGGCACGTGCCGTAATTAGGTGCTTGATCTACACTGCAATTACAATATGGTGTGTTGTCTATTTCAATAATGCTTCACAGGCCAAACGAGCTCTTCACAGAATAAGGAAAAAGTGCCGCATATTCAAATAACTTCCACTGTGCTTTAATCTATTTCAATAAATATTCTATGCGTTTCACAGTGATTTGGCAGGATAGGCTGTTTACATACTCTGACTAACAGCATGTGGAAAAGCATTTACAGCTCCAGGTCTTGGGGTGTGTAATACTGTGAGTCTGATTTGCTTCGTTCTTCTAAGCAAAGTGGAGTTACCTTTACACTAGTTACAGTGCACTACAACTGGAGTACTAGTTCTTCTAGTGTTAAGGGAACTCCACGGAAAGAGTTGGCACGGAGAGGAGGGGTTCTTAACCTGGCCGATTTACGTAATTCTGATCACAAAATCCGTTCTCTTACAGCTGCACGTGGCGCTGATTTGTTTTAGCTAGGACAGCAGTTTGTTACAGCTGCTTTGTCGTACAGCTGGCACGCCACCACACGCAGCCTAGCTCATCTGAGAACAGCGCAGCCGCACTGTGCAACACAAAGGGACGTAGGTCTAACAAATT